TGTGGGGAAACCCCTCTCCACCGTGCAGACCTAAGAAAACAAGTTGACAAAGGCATAAGTGAGGGCAATTATCACATACACCGTCAACGTACCTGTAGCTCACAGCGGCAGACTGGATGTGCTTGACCCAGGCGTGGGGAAACCCCTCTCCACCGTGCAGACCTAAGAAAAGAAGTTGACAAAGGCATAAGTGAGGGCAATTGTCACGTACACTGTCAACGTACCTGTAGCTCACAGCGGCAGACTGGATGTACTTGACCCAGGTGTGGGGAAACCCCTCTCCACCGTGCAGCCCTAAGAAAACAAGTTGACAAAGGCATAAGTGAGGGCAATTGTCACGTACACTGTCAACGTACCTGTAGCTCACAGCGGCAGACTGGATGTGCTTGACCCAGGTGTGGGGAAACCCCTCTCCACCGTGCAGACCTAAGAAAACAAGTTGACAAAGGCATAAGTGAGGGCAATTGTCACGTACACTGTCAACGTACCTGTAGCTCACAGCGGCAGACTGGATGTGCTTGACCCAGGTGTGGGGAAACCCCTCTCCACCGTGCAGACCTAAGAAAACAAGTTGACAAAGGCATAAGTGAGGGCAATTTTCACGTACACCGTCAACATACCTGTAGCTCACAGCGGCAGACTGGATGTGCTTGACCCAGGCGTGGGGAAACCCCTGTGTTGACAAGGGCATAAGTGAGGGCAATTGTCACGTACACTGTCAACGTACCTGTAGCTCACAGCGGCAGACTGGATGTACTTGACCCAGGTGTGGGGAAACCCCTCTCCACCGTGCAGCCCTAAGAAAACAAGTTGACAAAGGCATAAGTGAGGGCAATTGTCACGTACACTGTCAACGTACCTGTAGCTCACAGCGGCAGACTGGATGTGCTTGACCCAGGTGTGGGGAAACCCCTCTCCACCGTGCAGACCTAAGAAAACAAGTTGACAAAGGCATAAGTGAGGGCAATTATCACATACACCGTCAACGTACCTGTAGCTCACAGCGGCAGACTGGATGTGCTTGACCCAGGTGTGGGGAAACCCCTCTCCACCGTGCAGACCTAAGAAAACAAGTTGACAAAGGCATAAGTGAGGGCAATTATCACATACACCGTCAACGTACCTGTAGCTCACAGCGACAGACTGGATGTGCTTGACCCAGGCGTGGGGAAGCCCCTCTCCACCGTGCAGACCTAAGAAAACAAGTTGACAAAGGCATGAGTGCGTGCAATTTTCACGTACACCGTCAACGTACCTGTAGCTCACAGTGGCAGACTGGATGTGCTTGACCCAGGCGTGGGGAAACCCCTGTGTTGACAAGGGCATAAGTGAGGGCAATTGTCACGTACACTGTCAACGTACCTGTAGCTCACAGCGGCAGACTGGATGTACTTGACCCAGGCGTGGGGAAGCCCCTCTCCACCATGCAGACCTAAGAAAACAAGTTGACAAAGGCATGAGTACGTGCAATTTTCACGTACACCGTCAACGTACCTGTAGCTCACAGTCGCAGACTGGATGTGCTTCCAGCCAGACAGGAACGGGCGAAGACGGAAAAAACAAAGCGTGGTACGGATGATATGCGCGAAATAACGAAGCGGTTCAGAATGAGACTAAACTAACTTTCCCAAAAATAGAAACAAGTAGGCCGTTCAACTATAGGTGAACGAAAGTTGTGAAACGCTAGCCAACATCTGTACTAGTCCTTTAGGACGCTACTTACGAAAACACGAACGGAATGAATTTCGAGTAACACAAAAAGAGAGGGGGATGGAAAAAAAGGACGTGGTATGGAAAGCAAGTACTAACCCGAAATGGACAACTCAAGCAGATAGTTCAACTAGACGAAAAGTTCTTCTGGAACATTGTCCAACGTGAGTACTGCCACACACGCACCATACTACTTAAAACAGAAATAAAAATATTTTAGTAACACCGTTGTATAACCGTTGACACGCGACAGCAACGTGGACACGGAAGAAACAAAGAAAAAGAACAAAACTCGAAAATCGGGTTGCCAGCCGAGACAGGTGAAGTCGCGAAGCTGGCTATACCAATCAGTGGTTAGTCGGTATATGATTCAATAAGAATATACTTCTCGCTACTTTTCTTGTTTGTTGTTAAAAATTAGGCATAATTATTTTACTGCTTGTTGCCGAGCGTGTTGGTGTAAACTGCAATTCATGAAATCAACGTAGGATAACACCAAGGATGACACCGACGGTACGACTGTGCTGTTATAATTTGTCTGTGGAGATTTGTTTAAATTGATAAGTCACCAAACTAATGTATGAATAAAACAAACGCTACCAATTTATTTATTTATTGATGTTTAACCCCGACGTCATGTAGTTTTCAACTTTTCTAGGTGCCGCTAGTGTCACATATCCGTTAAAATCCATAGCCAACGAAATCCATCGATATTTGTGCATTGTCGGCTCTAGGAGCGCGTGGTTTGGACTCTGGTGTTACCACGACCGGGTTTTGCGTTTTACTGTCGGTGAAAGCGACGGTACCGTGAAACCGCCGCCATTTCAGCAGCTCAAGGTAAATGTTTAGCTTTTGCATAACTTTTTAGATCCGGTGAGTGTTGATGACTTTCTCACATCAGTTTTTCTATTCATTTTCAGGGATGTATGCAATTGTGGAATTTACGATAACCCAAGAGATGGAGATCGTGCCTTGCATGTGGGTCACGGGAAACAACTGTTTATGGCCGAAGGTGTCAACCGATAAGGCTCAACAGCTGGTGCGAATTGGGGGGCCACCAGGACCAGGGTTTTCTGAGTTCGAGGTGACTGTGAAAGGACTATTCAGTGAGTGTATTGCATCTCTTTGTGCTTGCAGCCAGCGGCGTAGACTTTCCATTTCCCCGGCGGTGCAGGCTGAGAAGTTCTCCGAGGGGGGAGGGGGGGGGGGGAGGGGGGGGGGAGGGGAGAGGGAGAGGGAGAGGAGAGGAGGGGGGATTTGTTTTTTTGCGCAATTTTAAACCGGCAATTAAGAGTAGTTTAATTTAGGGGGTATATTTTACAACGTATGTATATCTTCTTCAGCTATCATTGTAAGAGCAGTACTCTTGGTCCATTAATTTTTCTAATTTTTATTAACGACTTGCCAACTAATATTTTCTCACGCATGCGGCTCTCCGCGGTCGACTGCATCATCCATCGCTTCATTGGGCGCGTTAAGTTGTGACTCCACGAATCCAGTTCGGGTAACTCCGTCGGAGTCACTACTAAACGGACTTTTGGAACAGCTCCGGATGGAGTAGGCGCCCTCTGTATGAACTTCCACTTGTTTTATATATCTATTTTGTTTTTTTTTTCTGGTGGGACATCGCAAAATGGCAGGCTGCTGTAGAAGCAGACCAAGCGGACGTAAAAGGAATCGATGCCGCGTTACCTTCTCGCCAGAACTGGAGATTGAAGCTAACGAAAGCACGCTGGGATTCCATTTCCCATGCATTTTGTCAATAATGGCAACGTGGGCGTTATTTTGTTTACATGCCACTACTAGAAGCTCGTTACATGGCACGTAAACAGCGTCTCCGTAAGGATCATGGCCCGGGGGGGGGGGCTCTTCCGCCCCCCCCCCCCCTTCCCCCAGATCTCACCAGGGGGGGCACGAGCCCCGATGCCCCTCCGTGGTAGTGGCATGTATGCTTGCAGCAGTGTTCATTAACTGTAAGTATGTTTTTCTTATGTAACTACAGATTCCTACGAAGAAGGGCGCTCCAAGTTGGAGCAGTCGCGGTCAGTAAGTAGAAGTTTGCGACGCAATTCCTTGCCTTTTTAAGTTGTACTATAAGTGTCATCTATTGCTTTCAGGTGCTGTAAAGCGGACAAAGTACTGCAAAGAGTCTACGAAAGAAGAGGTGAAAACGGAAGTCAAAGAGAGGCTTCGCCGCGCAAAGGAGAGGTGCGCCCCTTCCAAGGGAGAGTAGGCATCTACCTTCAAGTGTGAGAAAGGTGCCTCTGCCCTGGCTCTGATTGCAAATAAAAAAGTATTCAGCTTTCTAACATTTTTGTTCTCTTTTATTTTACGAAACATAGGGCGAACTGGAGCTGCGAGATGACTACGTAAAAGGTAATGAAATGATTACAAAAATATTTTAAAGAGTAGTACACATGCATCACAATTAATTTGATTGCTTGTAGTCGAGAACATACGAGAATGTTTTTCCTTTTACAGCACAGAGTATCGGCTTGAAATGAGTTCACAATTCCGAGGTTCTACGTCTGTATTAATGAACCTTCGGACAACACTTAAAACAAACGCATCCCTGAAAAATTACCGATGTGTCAACCTCTTTTTTTTGTCCCCTCATACCAACCGAAAAATGTAAGAGACCCCAGAAAGCATTTAATGCACCCCTTAAACCCTCAGGAAAAACTAAAGGGCCCATCAGACCTTGCAGAAAATTGTAAAGGGCCCCTTTAGAACTTCAGAAAAGACTGATGGGACCTCTTAAGACCGCAGGAAATCTTGAAGGGGCCATCAAATCTGTCAAAGAATCTTGGCGGCCCTCAAAAAATATCTTCATTATCCTCTGCACAAAAAGGTTCTGTTATGAACAAGCTTTTTGTGCAGAATGGGACCAATCTCTTCTGCCATATATTTAGCAGCTGTCTTGCTGTTGTCTGGCCCATGTCCTAGTCAGACCTTGGAGGGAGTGTCCGTCTGTAAAGAAATGAATGAAATATTCTTTAATTATATTAATTGGACTATATGAATGGCACTTGTGCCTAGAAACTACCAGATTGGCTGTGTCGGGGAAAAGCAATCTCATGCCTAGCGAGAAAAGCTTAAGATACCAGTGCCGGTAACTGTCGCAAATTAACTGGACGAGTGACGAAGTGCTAGTCCTCGGCGGAGGGAGGCCGCTACGGCTCCCCCCCCCCTCTCCCCCGCCAAGCAAACAAATTGACGAAGGTATGAGTGCATATTCACGTGCAATTTTCACGTACACCGTCAACGTACCTGTAGCTCACAGTGGCCGACTGGATGGTGCTTCGACGAGGCATGGGGAAATCCTTCTTGACCGTGCTGCCCTAAGAAAACAAATTGACAAAGGCATGAGGGGGGGCAATCCTCACGTACAACGTCAATGCACCTTAGCTTACAGCGGCAGACTGGATGGTGCTTGGCCGAGGCGTGGGGAAATCCTTCTTGACCGTGCTGCCCTAAGAAAACAAGTTGACAAAGTCATAAGTGCGGGCAATCGTCACGTACAATGTCAACGTAGCTGTAGCTTACAGCGGCAGACTGGATGGTGCTTGGACGAGGCGTGGGGAAATCCTTCTTGACTGCGCTGCCCTAAGAAAACAAGTTGACAAAGGCATGAGTGTGGGCAATCGTCACATACAACGTCAACATACCTGTAGGTTACAGCAGCAGACTGGATGGTGCTTGGCCGAGGCGTGGGGAAATCCTTCTTGACCGTGCTGCCCTAAGAAAACAAGTTGACAAAGTCATAAGTGCGGGCAATCGTCACGTACAACGTCAACGTACCTGTAGCTTACAGCGGCAGACTGGATGCTGCTTGGACGAGGCGTGGGGAAATCCTTCTTGACCGTGCTGCCCTAAGAAAACAAATTGACAAAGGCATGAGTGCGGGCAATCCTCACGCACAACGTCAATGCACCTTAGCTTACAGCGGCAGACTGGATGGTGCTTGGCCGAGGCGTGGGGAAATCCTTCTTGACCGTGCTGCCCTAAGAAAACAAGTTGACAAAGTCATAAGTGCGGGCAATCGTCACGTACAACGTCAACGTACCTGTAGCTTACAGCGGCAGACTGGATGGTGCTTGGACGAGGCGTGGGGAAATCCTTCTTGACCGTGCTGCCCTAAGAAAACAAATTGACAAAGGCATGAGTGCGGGCAATCCTCACGTACAACGTCAATGCACCTTAGCTTACAGCGGCAGACTGGATGGTGCTTGGCCGAGGCGTGGGGAAATCTTTCTTGACCGTGCTGCCCTAAGAAAACAAGTTGACAAAGTCATAAGTGCGGGCAATCGTCACATACAACGTCAACATACCTGTAGGTTACAGCAGCAGACTGGATGGTGCTTGGACGAGGCGTGGGGAAATCCTTCTTGACCGTGCTGCCCTAAGAAAACAAGTTGAAAAAGTCATAAGTGCGGGCAATCGTCACGTACAACGTCAACGTACCTGTAGCTTACAGCGGCAGACTGGATGGTGCTTGGACGAGGCGTGGGGAAATCCTTCTTGACCGTGCTGCCCTAAGAAAACAAATTGACAAAGGCATGAGTGCGGGCAATCCTCACGTACAACGTCAATGCACCTTAGCTTACAGCGGCAGACTGGATGGTGCTTGGCCGAGGCGTGGGGAAATCCTTCTTGACCGTGCTGCCCTAAGAAAACAAGTTGACAAAGTCATAAGTGCGGGCAATCGTCACGTACAACGTCAACGTACCTGTAGCTTACAGCGGCAGACTGGATGGTGCTTGGACGAGGCGTGGGGAAATCCTTCTTGACCGTGCTGCCCTAAGAAAACAAATTGACAAAGGCATGAGTGCGGGCAATCCTCACGTACAACGTCAATGCACCTTAGCTTACAGCGGCAGACTGGATGGTGCTTGGCCGAGGCGTGGGAAAATCTTACTTGACCGTGCTGCCCTAAGAAAACAAGTTGACAAAGTCATAAGTGCGGGCAATCGTCACATACAACGTCAACATACCTGTAGGTTACAGCAGCAGACTGGATGGTGCTTGGACGAGGCGTGGGGAAATCCTTCTTGACCGTGCTGCCCTAAGAAAACAAGTTGACAAAGTCATAAGTGCGGGCAATCGTCACGTACAACGTCAACGTACCTGTAGCTTACAGCGGCAGACTGGATGGTGCTTGGACGAGGCGTGGGGAAATCCTTCTTGACCGTGCTGCCCTAAGAAAACAAATTGACAAAGGCATGAGTGCGGGCAATCCTCACGTACAACGTCAATGCACCTTAGCTTACAGCGGCAGACTGGATGGTGCTTGGCCGAGGCGTGGGGAAATCCTTCTTGACCGTGCTGCCCTAAGAAAACAAGTTGATAAAGTCATAAGTGCGGGCAATCGTCACGTACAACGTCAACGTACCTGTAGCTTACAGCGGCAGACTGGATGGTGCTTGGACGAGGCGTGGGGAAATCCTTCTTGACCGTGCTGCCCTAAGAAAACAAATTGACAAAGGCATGAGTGCGGGCAATCCTCACGTACAACGTCAATGCACCTTAGCTTACAGCGGCAGACTGGATGGTGCTTGGCCGAGGCGTGGGGAAATCTTTCTTGACCGTGCTGCCCTAAGAAAACAAGTTGACAAAGTCATAAGTGCGGGCAATCGTCACATACAACGTCAACATACCTGTAGGTTACAGCAGCAGACTGGATGGTGCTTGGACGAGGCGTGGGGAAGTCCTTCTTGACCGTGCTGCCCTAAGAAAACAAGTTGACAAAGTCATAAGTGCGGGCAATCGTCACGTACAACGTCAACGTACCTGTAGCTTACAGCGGCAGACTGGATGGTGCTTGGACGAGGCGTGGGGAAATCCTTCTTGACTGCGCTGCCCTAAGAAAACAAGTTGACAAAGGCATGAGTGAGGGTTATTTTCACGTACAGCGTCAACATACCTGTAGCTCACAGCGGCAGACTGGATGTGCTTGACCTAGGCGTGAGAGAAACCCCTCTCCACCGTGTAGCTCTAAGAAAACAAGTTGACAAAGGCATGAGTGAGGGTTGTTTTCACGTACACCATCAACATACCTGTAGCTCCCAGCAGCAGACTGGATGTGCTTGACCCAGGCGTGGGGAAACCCCTCTCCACCGTGCAGCTCTAAGAAAACACGTTGACAAAGGCATGAGTGAGGGTTATTTTCACGTACACCGTCAACGTACCTGTAGCTTTCAGTGGCAGAATGGATGGTGCTGGCCCCAGGCGTGGAGTTAAAGTGTATGCAGCTGTGGAATGACCACCGATTTCGCTCCCCAAGGCAACCGGACCAATTTACGTACATTCTTCAATGACCAGCATTTTGTGTAAGAAGGCTGGGAGGCTACAAAAACACCAATGGTACCCGATAAAAATGGCTTATCATAGAAGTTTTCCTTTACGACGAGTTCTCGACCAATGATGCAAGGCGCCTGTGTAGATCTAGAGTGCGCAAAATTGTCTACGAGGACAATAGCGTCATCAATCATACAGCAGTTGTTGGCCAAGTCTACGGCGAGCACGAAACCAGCAAAGGTTGCAGACTTGTACTGGGGTGGTGTACAATCGGGCGGGAGAGGCCCATCTGTATGCTGTTTTCCAAGCTGGACAGAATCCAGAGGTGTCTTGGCAGTCGCCGCCATGCCCTCACGCTCCTTCAGACGGTTATACAGTTGAGCCAGTGGAGTATTATGACTCTTGAGGAGTCGCTTCAGGCACTGCATGTTATTTTCGAAAGGAAACGCACTAAACGTATCTAGCGGACCTTGGTTGCGCACATCACTTGCAAGATGTAAGACACAGTGGATGTTGTAAGACACCTGGTCGTCTCCATAGAGTTTTGCGAACGTTTTCACGAAGTGCTGGAAAAGTGACTCTGCGTAATCTACGTACTGATGACACAAAGTTGGGCTCGATACGAGAAATGTGCCACAGTGCAAAGCAAGGAAGTTGTTATAAAGGTCAGGGGACAGAACGGTCTTAAGTACTACCGGCCCAGTGTAAAGAAGGAAAAGTCTAAACTCTGTCGCCTTCCACCGGTCGACCTCTGCTGTGCCTCTCGGCTTACGTGCAAATTCTCCAGGCACGTGTGCAACTAAAGAAAGGTTTAGGTCAGACAATCGCTTTCGGCCTACAGGGCCAAGGCGCACATCTAAGGGCCCACCCAACCATAAGCCGAGCAGCTTCTTCTGAACACCGAGACATAGCAAATGCATGTAGTCAAGGGGCGCGGTGCTGATACAGTCGATTGGAAGCTCTGTCAGGGCTGAGACGTCATGATGATGATCGGGATCCGTCTGGCGCCTTATAGAATCATCAGTCCGCAGGGTGGAAATTTTCGATGGATAAAAAACCTTTTTGTTTGTATATGTGCCCTCTGCAATGCACTTCGGACATCCCGAGTATCCTGTGTGACCCTTAATGCTGTACACAAACGACCGTGCAGGTGCGTCACAAATAAAGCTCTTCACCGAGACCTCTATCATCTGCCCCTTGAAGCTCATTCCCTGAGACAAAAGCTGTAGCAGCTCGCCCACAACAGGAGCCAGGAAATTATTTGCCGATGCTGGCTTTGACTCTCCCGCAAAAACACCAAGAACAAAAGGGGCTGCCTTGCCAAGTTCAATAACCATGCACTGGATGGGCCACAGCTGCATCTTTGTGCTTTTTGAAATGGGTAATCCATCGATGTTGAAAGACAGGGCAATAGACCTACCTTCAAAATGTGCATGTGAGAGGATATTTCTCAGCTGGTACGCCAGCCCGAAATGGCAGTAATCTCCCGGGGGCATCGCAGTTACAGCTGGAGTACGCATCGTGTCTCTAGGTGTACCGAGTAGAGTGCGAGCATCGTTCGGAAGACATGCTGGATCAAAAGGTCGTGACTTCAAGACCTTAAGGAGGGACGTTACAGCGGTCTGTGGAATATTCTCTTTGAGAGCCCAAGTCTTCAGTTCTGCAGCCAAATTACCAGATCCAGCAACTGGCTCCGTGTTTACGCAGCCAGAGAAAGTAGGCTTGGAATGAGGACTGTAACTCGCAAGAGCTGAGTAAGGCACACTATCCTCTATCTCCTCCGCATCCGAATACTCGATCTGTGCCACTTCTAAGGGCATAATTGGTAGCCGAGCTGCTGCATCACCACCCTGAGCCACAGGTAGTCCCTCGTTGCTGCAATCTTGGCTGCCGCATGAATCTGAACTCAAAAGGGCAGAGACGCTGCCACTGCATGTGTGTGCTGCTGATGTACGTGAGCCATTTTTGTCTATGGCATCCGTTAGCACAGGTAGTGTAACTTGCTGGAAGCAAGGGTGCCCAAAGTTTTCAAATATCTCCTTTGTTTTCTGTGAGGCTCTTTTGAGTGTGTAGGACGTTTCTTTGACTTTGGGCATGATACCTGTGCATTAGAGATGATACGGGCGAAATACTCAAACTCCTTCAAATAACAAGACTAAACTAACTCCTCTAAATGGGCCGTCTGGTGAATGAAACTTGCCCGACACTGCCAGACGCGTGCACAAAGCCTCCAGGAGGCTACAAACGAAAGCACAAACGAAATGAAGTTCCAGCCAGACGGGAACGGGCGAGGGCGGAAAAAACAAAGCATGGTACGGATGATATGCGCGAAATAACGAAGCGGTTCAGAATGAGACTAAACTTTCCTAAAAATGGATACAAGTAGGCCGTTCAACTAGGTGAACCAAAGTTCCGAAACGCTATCCAACGTCCGTATTACCCCTTCTTACGAAGACACGAACGGATTGAATTTCGAGCTACACAAAAACAGACGGGGACGGAAAAAAACAACGTGGTATGGAAAGCAAGTACTAACCCGAAATGGACAACTCAAGCAGATGGTTCAACTAGACGAACAGTTCTTCTGTAAAATTGTCCAACGTCAGTACTGCGACATAAACACAATACTACTTAAAACAGAAATAAAAAAATTTCGTGACACCGTTGTATCGACACGCGACAGCAACAACGTGGACACGAAAGCAACAAACAAAAAAGAACAAATTCGAAACTCGGGTTGCCAGCCAAGGCGGGAGTGGTTAGACGGGATATGATTCAATAAGAATATTCTTCTCGCTACTTTTCTTGTTTGTTGTTCAAAATTGGGCACGATTATTTTACTGCTTGTTGACGAGCGTGTTGGCGTAAGCTGCAATTCAAGAATTCAGCGCGTTATGCAACGCGTAGAGGGATGACGTTGACGATACGACCGTGCAGTGCGTGCAGTTATAATTTGTCTGTGGAGATTTGTTTAAATTTATGAGTCACCAAACTAATGTACGAATAAAACAAACGCTACCAATTTATTTATTTATTGATGTTTAACCCCGACGTCATGTACTTTTCAACTTTTCTAGGTGCCGCTAGTGTCACATATCCGTTAAAATCCATAGCCAACGAAATCCTTCGATATTTGTGCATTGTCGGCTCTAGGAGCGCGTGGTTTGGACTCTGGTGTTACCACGACCGGGTTTTACGTTTTACTGTCGGTGAAAGCGACGGTACCGTGAAACCGCCGCCATTTCAGCAGCTCAAGGTAAATGTTTAGCTTTTGCATAACTTTTTAGATCCGGTTAGTGTTGATGAATTTCTCACATCAGTTTTTCTGTTCATTTTCAGGGATGTATGCAATTGTGGAATTTACGCTAACCCAAGAGGTGGAGATCGTGCCTTGCACGTGGGTCACGGGAAACAAGTGTTTATGGCCGAAGGTGTCCACCGGTAAGGCTGTCAAGCTAGTGCGAAAGGGGGGGCCACCAGGACCAGGGTTTTCTGAGTTCGAGGTGACTGTGAAAGGACTATTCAGTGAGTATATTGCATCTCTTCATGCGTGCAGCAGTGTTCATTAATTGTAAGTATTTTTTTCTTATGTAACTACAGATTCCTACGAAGAAGGGCGATCTAAGTTGGAGCGGTCGCGGTTCACATCTGATCTCTCGGACGAGGAGATACGCCCAAAGCGTAGGAGATTTCGCCCCACACGCTGGAGCGAGTCCGACTCAAGCTCGGATGAATTCCCGGTAGCCCCGATGCCGCTCTGCGCACGGCAGAACTCGCGTAACGCTATTTGATTTTTATTTTGTTCTGCAGCTGACAGCCTTGTTGACCGTTGCAACTGTTTCTTATTAGCTTAGAATTCGAACCTGGCACTTGATAAGTCTAGGGTGTGTCGTCAGACGTACTTGATCTGTCGTTTTACGTAAACAATGTGCTTATATAGGGGGTTGGGGCACAACTGCATTTTTTATATTTTGGGAGATCAATTTGTACTTTTTTCATCTTACAATTTGAGGTTTTCTGGTCGCTTTTCACAGCCAGTAGCCAGAGACTGGAATCACAGAGTGCGAGCCCGGCAAGATCAATACACAGTGAAATGTCGCAAGCTGCACTAATGCGAGGTACAGTTTCTCCTGAAAACCACTCATATTGTTTTTCGCTTTTTGTATTCTAATGTTACCAATTCCCAACTTAATCAGACATCTCCAAACAGGTGCTAGTGGTTCGTCCCAGTCGTCTAGCACTTCGATAAACACGCTGGCTCCCAGTCCACAAGATAAAGGTAGCTATAGGGTGTTTTCACTGACGTAATTTCGTCCACCATTTTGTTGTTGTGAGCTGTCTGGCGTGTGCCAAACTCGAGCATTCCAAGGATTGACACGCCCCCTCAAATGCATAGAGCACCGCTGACATCATCTCAACCGGTTACGATGTAATCCTTCAATGTAGTAAATTTGTGTGAAAAAACAAGCTAACAACAAAATGCCAAATTGACGTTATGTGCGAACAACCTATAATGTATGGCCATTTTACAAATGAGGGGCTATGCACATATTGCTGCAAGTTGAGGTGCAAAGCTTGCAGAACCAATTAACTTTAATTTCATTTCCGTGTGAGCGCTGAAGTTTTATATTTAATCAAATTTGGGCAAGCAAATATATGGAGCACCATGCCACCAAAAACAAGGTGGCTTTCTTCACATCTAGGAACCTAAATATGAGAAAAATCCATGTCACCATGTACCCTTCTTGCATGTAGCCCCTTCAATTGTCTTTATCTTCGCAGGTGCCTGTGGTTCGTTCCAGACACCTAAAACGTCAACAAGGACACCGGCTCCCAGTTCACGAAATAAAGGTACATTGCATGATCGTTTTACAAATAAAGAGCTACGCACACTAGCAGTGCAAATTCAAATGCAAAGCTTGCAAAAACAATCGCCATCTCTTTCATACCTTTCTGGGTGAAGTTTTATATTTAATCAAATTTGAGCAAGCAAATGTATGGAGCACCATACCGCCAAAAACGAAGTGACTTTTTCACATCTGGAAACTTTTCGGTAGGCTTTTAGCATATTAAATAAAGTGAACTCTCCAGAGGTGGATATTTTTTTGCCTGGAAGTTTTAGCGTGCGAGCCCTGCTCAAGGTATACATTGATTGTATGTTTTCCTTTCTGTTTTTTAAACAACAGATATGGGGGCAACAGGTTTCTGCGCTGTATGTTTTCCACTGTCGGAGGTCACATTCTGTTGATATTACCTATGTACATTTTTTTCCTACTTTTTTAGGCATGTTTTTTAATTTTGTATTCTGTGTCATTTGAGCTCTTGCATGTATGCATGGTGCACCCTCCTGTAGGCCCACGGGCTCTTCAAGGGCAGTTCAGAAGTACCAAATAAATAAATAACATAAATAAATATGAGAAGCAATCCAAGTCACCCTTATTGCATCTAGCGCCTGCAGTTGTCTTTATCTTCGTAGATGCCAGTGGTTTTTCAACCGCATCTCAAACATTGACAAGGATGTCGGCTCCCAGTCGATTAGATCAAGGTACTTTACTGCAGAATTGTGTTGCAGCTGCGTATTAAGATATTTTGTGTGTCCTTCATTAAATTTTTTCAGCACTGCCGGCTATGCAACACATGACGCCTAGCACCAGTGCTTCGACCTGCGGTAAGCTAATTTGATTTCAATTGTTTTTCTTTCACAGCATGGTTGCACAACTTTGAATAGTTTTGAAATGGCTAAGCTCTTGACTTTTTGCCATCTTTTTTTTTTCTTTTTAGCTGATCTGCGGGCCACTGCTAGGATCTTGAGTGCTGCTGGTAAGTAGGATGTTGTCTCCTGCCTGCACTAATTTTATTTGCCAATATTTATTTGAAGCCTTTTCTTTGCATGCAGAGTTTCAGCGACGGGTGCTGAATGGGATGAGCGTCATGAGGAGCCAGCAGACGGAGATAATGGACATGATTTCGACATTGCTACGAGCGCGTGAGAGTTTCGTTGTAGAGCCCAGCCAGCCGATCCTCGTTGATCCCCTCGACACTCCTGAAGCAATTGAGGTGTTTGATGGCGCTCTTACAGATGCCACGAGTGAGGCTTTGGTAAGCAATTGCTGTTATCAATGCCTGCCCATACTCTAGTTTTTGTCACTTACTGAGGCAAGTATTGGTGTTTGCATTCTCTAGGCTTTGCTGTTATGTCTTATCCCTAGTGTGCAGCTAAGGTTAAGACATGCAGATAACAAATAAGCTAGGAGCAAGCTGTGATTTTAAATCGAGATGCATCGAAGGGGTGAGACTGCCTGTTCTCTGGTAAGCAACAAAGGTGTTTGTAATGGTGCTATACTTTAGCATTATTTCATGAGTGTAGAGCAAGCTCTGACTACTTCCGTATTTCTTCAAATGGCAACTCTGTCCCACAGTTCCAGATCTTAGAGCATGGGAAATGACTAATGAGATAGAACAATGACTAGGAGGTGTAAACAACTGCCCAAATAAAATAAAATTTGGGCCCTCACATTCCTTCAATCTTTCTCAAGGTATCACCAGTTCACTCATACTGGCCTCGGAGATAAAGAGGGGGTGTGAATTGGCTAATTGTAAAGCCTAGCCCAGTTAATACAAGCTGTAAACCCATTCATGCTCAGGTTCTTTCTATCCAGCTAACCTTGAATGCCAAACATTTTTGGCTATACTTGCTTTCTGGGTATCGTAATGCTCCTTATGTCATGTCTTACGTTCCCCAGGCACCAGCCCCACGTTTTATGTGCTCAAACACGGCATTGGCATTTTGCATGGACAGTGAATTGAGGATTGCATTTTCTTATAACCAAGGTTATTGCCCCAAGATGAACCCTTTCCATGATATAAGTAGCTTTGGGGATAGCGTTTCACTGGTCAGAGTAAAACAGCGAAAACTGGCTATGTCTTGTTCGTATTAACTGTGTCGTGCTCTGTACGTTCCTTCCAGGTTGTGGAGCTGACCTCCCTTGGGGACCTGTCTATCAAAACAACTGTAAGGTCTATGCTTGCACACCTGATTAGTGACGAAGCTGCAGCCAAGTTCAGCATGGATGGGCGCAAAGGGAAGGTTTTCCGTAGCCTTAAGCTGTACAAATTGATCTTTGGTAAGTAGAAGTTTGCAACGCAATTCCCTGCCTTTTTAAGTTGTACTATAAGGGTCATCTATTGCTTTCAGCTGCTATAAAGCGGACAAAGCACTGCAAAGAGTCTACGAAAAAAGAGGTGGAAACGGAAGTCAAGGAGTGGCTTCGCCGCGCAAAGGAGAGGTGCACCACTTCTAAGGGAGAGTAGGCATCTACCTGCAAGTGTGAGAAAGGTGCCTCTGCCCTGGTTCTGATTGCAAATAAAAAACTATTTTGCTGTCTAACATCCTTGTTTCCTTCTAGCTTACGAAACATAAGGCCAACTGGCACTGCGACATCACTACGTAAAATGTAATCAAATGATTGCAAAATTACTTTAAAAAGTAGTACACATGCATCACAATTCATTTGATTACTTGTAGTCGAGAACATACAATACTGTTTTTCTTTTTACCGCACACAGTATCAGCTTGAAAGGAGCTTACAATTCTAAGGTTCTAGGCCTCTATTAATGGACCTTCGGACAACACTTGAAAAAAAAACGAATTACCGATGTGTCCACCTCTTTTTTTCCCCGTCATACCTATTGAATGATCTTGGAGACCCCAGAAAGCATCTATTGTGCCCCTCAAACCCTTAGCAAATCCTAGAGGGCCCATCAGACTTTGCAGAAAATTGTGATGGGCCCCTATGGAACTTCAGGAAATACTGTGATGGGACCTCTTAAGACCTCAGGAAATCTTGAAGGGGCCATCAAATCTGTCAAAGAATCTTGGGGGGGGGGGGGGGGGCCTCAAACCTATCTTCATTAGGGAAAGGTATATCCTCTGCACAAAAAGGTTCTGTTAAGATAATCGTTTAGTGCAGAATGGGACCACTTTTAAGTAACTGTTTTTGAATGGTTTCCCAATACCTATTGGGATATGTTCGAACATCCACAAATGGACAGCCCTCGGACGTCCATTTCTGTATATCCACAGGACGTCCACTATTAGTCCGAATTTGGACGTACGGAAACGGGTGTCCAGTGTACGTCCGACGGACGTCCTTCCCTGGCAATGGATATTCAGCTCTTGTTCGGACGTCCGACGGACATACGTGGTTGCTTGGGCTGTCGCACAATGTGGAATGAATTTGCTATAATATTCCACTAGACCGAGGAATGCCTTGAGTTGTGTTGGATCGGACGGTGAGGGGAAGTTCAGAACGGCTTCTATCTTGGACGGAAGGGGCGCTACGCCTTCCGCGGATAGACTATGGCCGAGAAAAGACAAGGTTGGAACGCGGAAAACCGCCTTTCTGTTCAGTTTCATGCCAGCGGACTTGATCCGTCGGAGGACTTCGCGCAAGTGCGCGTCGTGTTCTTGAGGTGATGATCCGTAAACGATCACGTCGTCTAAGTAGAACTGTACACCAGGACAGTCCTTAAGGATCTTTGACATAACTTGTTGGAATGCGGCTGGCGCGGAGGCCAAGCCGAAGCAGACTCGCTTGAAGTGAAATAAACCCTCATGCGTGATGAACGCTGTAAGGTCTCGACTCTTGGGGTCGAGTCGCACTTGATGGTAGGCCGACGCAAGGTCGAGTTTTGAAAAACAAGATGCTCCTCTGAGCGAGTTCAGGAGCTCGTCGATATGCGGTAGTGGGAATGAGTCGATCACGACCGCGCGGTTGGGAGCCCGGAGATCGACGCACATGCGGATACCGCCGTCTCTCTTCTTGACGACCACGATGGGCGAGACCCACTCGGAGGCGCTGACGCGCTCAATCACGCCCTGACGTTCGAGTTTCTGGATCTCGGCAGTTACGGACTCGCGCAGCGTGAACGGTAGACGACGGAGCTTCGCCTGAACGGGCGGAACATGACGACGGACAGTGACTGTATGTGTTTGGTTTACAACCAAACCCAACTCGGACGAAAAAAGTTCTTCAAACTCCTCAAAACCGGGAGGAAGCGTGGAATGATCGCTCACCGATGACGGAGAACGGCCACTGGACGAGGTCGATGGACCTTGGGCTGCGGGGACAGCCGACGACAAAGTGCCAAAGGCACCAGAAGAGTGGAGTGGCGAACTTGCGTCCGCCGTGGACGATGGCTGCGGGACCTCAGCCTCGGTTACATGTCCCGGGACGGCTGTTCCGGGAGCAGCTGCGTCAATGTGGAAACATTTTAGCGGTACGCCAGACAAGATCATTTTGAGGTCATGTACCGCGTCCACTCCAAGTAGTGAACGGCCGTTGCGTACAACGTAGAAGATAATGGTCGCGAAGCGATCCTTGAAGACGACGTTTGCGTGAAAGCATCCCAAAACGGGAATGGAACCCTTTAGGTAGTGCACTAAAGTGCGCGGCGGCTTTGAAAGCTTGATGCGGCCGCTCCGATTGATGCGGTTGAAAGTCGCATCCGAGAGAAGGGAGACCTCAGCACCGGTGTCGATGAGAATGGAAAGAGGGAAGCCGTTCACCTCTACATCGGCCGTGAAACTCCGGCGCTGGGGACCAGGTCGCTGCTCCCGGCGACCACCGGGTGACCCCACCGTGTAAACGCCAGGCCACATCTCGTCGTCGTCATCCTCCGAGAACGTGCCGACGCCTCGCACGGGTGTGCGTGTCGGACCAGCTTGGCGACGGTCGTAGTAGCCGCGGGCAGAGACCCGCCGGCCAGCAGGAAGGGCCAGTTGTCGATAATCCCGGTCGTCCCTCGGTCGGCTTCGACACACATTTGCAAAATGTCCCTCACGGCCACACAAGAAGCATGTGGTTCCCGATGCTGGGCACTCATCCCGCGGGTGGCTCCGTCTTCCGCAAAAGAACATCCGCCCTCGCGAACGGGAGGACGCGCCCCGGGGGGAGGGTCACGTGGGCGCGCACCGGAGAACGGGCGGGAGGGAGCTCGCGGCTGCCGGCGGTCTTGACGCGGCGGGAGAGGGAAAGTCCGCGCGCGTCCCGACGGAGGAGAGGGAGGCCCACGCCTCGGAAGGGAAGAGTAGGAGGGCTCTCGCTGCGACGGAGACGGGGGAGGAGGAAGGGGACGCTCACGCCTCGGGGGGGAAGATCCGCGGCGGCGGGGAGGCTGCCCGCCATGTTGAGCATCCCGGTCGCGACCGCGTCCATCTTGGATCCGCTCGACCACGTGCGGCGCGTTCGGGGTTGCGTCTAGCGATAAGCGTCGGAAAAGATCGCAATCACGAGACGTCCGCCAGCTGGACAGCACGCTGCGCCAGCTGGACAGCACGCTCGAGGCTCGGTGCGTGAGCTCCACCGGACTCTCTGATAAGACGATCTTGGACTTCCGCGTTACGGATTCCCGAGATAAACATCTCCGCGACGCGGCTTTCCAACGACTCTCCGTAGTCGCAAAACGAGGCTAAGCGCTGAAGCGCCCCAAGATGCTCCAGGACCGTCTCCCCTGGGCCCTGCACCCTTGTGACAAACTTCCTGCGTTCGACGACAACGTTCTGAGCGGAAGCGAAGTGAGTGTCCAGAACGGACAATAAAACCTTAAACTCATCTTGGGCCGCGCCAACGGCCGGGCCAGCGAGGCCAAACGCATCCACGACGCGATTCCCTTCTTCTCCCAAAAAGGACAGCAAGATCGCCCTTCTCCGCTTTGACGGAAAACCGTCGGCGTCAGTCGCCTCAAGATAGTTAAGGAAGCCACGCTTTCACGTAAGCCACGGCATTACCGGCGTGCCGGGCGTGGGGAGGAAGTCGGCGGGAACGCGACCCTGTGGAGCCGCCATCCTGGACACAACGGACCAAGACTTCCTTTGTTCTCGCGGCCCACCGCTTTAAGACTTTATGGCGACTACCGGCATGCAAAGACCTCGTTTCCTCGCAGGCCCTGTACTCCTTTCGCGATCTTTAACCGCTAAGCAATCCACGTTTTGTCGAGGAGCCAACCCTCGTCTAGGCTCAACGCGTGTTCTCAACGCGCATCCTTCGCATCATTTCAACCTGCCGACTCCGCAGCAGAGCGGCTTCTCTCTTCGCCGCGCGCATCCGACGACCGGAGGCGTCTAAATTTACGTCACCACTCGCTCACCGGAGCGAACGCGCCTTAAGCGCGATCCAAACCAACGCTTCTTTTTGCGCCTGTAGGTCGTGCGGCTGCGGATGTGACGCATTTCGTGGCGTTTTTGCTGTTTCCGGGCGCGCTTTCTGAGTCAGAACTGTGCGCTTTGGTTTGGACGGGCAAAACTTCGGGCGAGCGCGCACGCGCGCACGCAGGCACGAGCGCACAAGCAAGGTGCAACTGCGACAGACTGGCCGGCCAGACGGCGAGAGAAAGAGAGAGAGAGAGATCGCGTTGTCATGTTGGAAGAGAATAAAAGGGGAGGAGGAGAGGGCAGCCAGACGGCGAGAAACGCGGAGCCGGAACTATATTGCCCTCCACCGATTGGCCGGGACACAGGAGCGTCCTACTACGTCACCGCGCGTTTTTGTCCGCGTTGAGAAGAAGTTGAAATCAACCAACTTTCTTGTGCGCGCCCGGAAGGAGCGAAGAAGCGGCGCGACGTCACGAAAATACGTCACATCCGCAGCCGCACGACCTACAGGCGCAAAAAGAAGCGTTGGTTTGGATCGCGCTTTATGCGCTCCCTTACGCCGCGACAAGCTTCCGCGGGTCTTTCACTCGACAAGGGTTTTACAACGATTTTTTACATGTGCGCCTAAGACACTAACAAAAGACAACTATGTATGGTGACATTTGTAATACACGCAACGCCTACGCGGAGTACGGTCCCGACCTCGACGCCCGGGGACAAAGGCAAAATCCCGTGGGGGACAGCATTCACAAGGAGCCAAGCCCACTACCGTCAGACAGACCTTAGTATAGGACGCGAGCCCTCTGAAAGCTCCGCAACGGAACCCAACGGCGCGACGCCGCTCGAAAACGTAAGTGGAAAGAAAAAAAAATTTTCCACGAAATGCGCAAAAAAAAATTTACGCCCGCCGGGGCCCAATCCGGCGAAACGTATACGGGAAAAGAATTTCGTTGAACGGGAACGAGAGGTTGCCGGGGCCCAATCCGGCACACCTCGCGCGGGAAAACGTGGCGTCACAGGACAAAGGACGTGAAACACCGGCTGCCGGGGCTAAGCCTTATGCAGCGGGCTCCGAATCGGAAAACAAAGAAAATCCCATCCTCCTTCGCCAAAAATGTTGTGATTTGGAGAGCCCAATAAATAAAAAAAAGAAAGGAAAAGAAGCAGCGCCGAGGCGGCCTGCTGAAAGATGTTGTCTCACATGCCGAGGTGTGGCGGCGAGCACCGGCGGGTCCGAGGCGGGAACGACCCGGAAGGAAGGGACGTCTACATCGGCCGAGGTCAGAACACGTACTCGTTTATTTAGAGGGAAACAACCCGGGGGCCAACCGCCCCCGGGCGGTAGCTTACGCCACCTAGCCATTTTGTTTTACCATTTAAGCTTAGAATATTTAAATGTGAAATCTATATTCACTCCGCAGTGCAAAGAAAGTGAGGCTATGAAACCCCCTTGCCATCAGTGGATAAGAAAATACCTAGTTTTCTCTCGATTTCTGCCACCATTCTCTTAATCTTTGCTTGGTAATCTCTACAGTCTTGAAATCCACTCTCCCTT